AAGGGCGGGGCCTGGAGCCGCCCTGCAGCGCCGCCTCAGGCAGGGCCCGGGTGTATTCTGGCCTCTTGGGAAGAGGGGGGTACCCAGCCCCACCAGCTGCCTGCCTCCGAGAGAGACCAGTTCTCCCAGTGCCACCCGCAAGTGGAAAATCTCCAGCCGTTTATTTACTGACAAAAGCACCGCGACAAAGGGATGTCGGTAAAGATACAGCAGCGCAAGTGAGGGGAGAAGCAGGCCTCGGCCCCGGCCTCTTTCCGAGTGCCAATGAGCACAGACAATTAGCACGTGAAATCACCTCCATCGTTTTCATTCAACTAATTTTCAGCCCTGCATGAAGTTAAAAAGCTCCATATGCATGTATGCGTGTACACATTTATATCATACAGATATATATCCCATTATCGATACCCTCGAGCCCTTCGGTTCCCACTTTCGATATCATTTTGATGTGGATAACGCTTTAACTACACCTGTGATCTTTTCTTCTACTTTGAGACAGTTTTGATTAAAAGACTCAACATTCATTTCCTGCTTTCTAGTCTGGATATTTGAAGTATCAATTAAGGCAATAGATGCAATGGACAATGAACATGTATTATGCAAAATCTCCACCAGTTGTGTCTACAGGTCACCCTTGATGAGTTTCTGCTCTGAAATTTCTCCCTTTTTTAAAAAAAGTCAGATTTTTCTAATTGCTTTTCAAAAACAAGTAGATAAAAATGACTTGTTACTTTGATATTTACTGAGCTTTTAACATCCAGCTGTAGCTTCAATTCTCTAAATATTTGATATTCAAAGTTACAATTAAAAGCATAACATTTTGACTGCAAGAAGACCTCAGTGCTTACATTTACATTCATTACTTTCAAAGTTTTTGCTCCACTAACACAACTGACTGATCAGCTCTCAAGATCCCGTTGTCAAGACAGCAACAAGGGAATGAACTGAAAAAGGGGAAGGAGCAGAAGCACAGAGACCTGGAACAGTTGAACTCTTACCCTTTCCATTAAAAAGTTAATGCTACGTATTGCCTGGGGCATGGCCTTTTGCCTTTCTATTTCCCACCTGTAAGATGGCAAGACTAATTTGGACAAATTTCCGAGTCACTGAAATAGATGTAGGCTCCTGAATCCCTGAACCTTGACAAGAATCCAGGCATCAGCTCCCCCTTGGAAGATCTTTCCAAGCAGGGATAAAGTCACCAGCTGGCATGTGTTAAACACAACTAAAATCTGGTCATGCTCACATCTAAGAATCATCACTGACAAAACATTTACAAGCAACTGTTTCTACTTGGTGATATATACAGTTGACCATGATACTGTCAGACTGATTAAGGCACGATCTGTGTTTTGATGCTGAAAAATCTTACCAGTTCCCACAAAGGAGTAGGGAAACACATTGTAAAAGAACAACATTTTGCAAAAGAGGGAGTGAGCACAAAAAAGAAAATAGTTACTGAACTACAAAATGGGAATGGCTAATATATTTTTGCAGTTTACTTTTAATAAGAAAATCCTAGCACCATAAAAGTCTAATTGAATATTCCAAAATAACAGCTTGCAATCAAGTGGCGGGGGGGGGGAAACCCATCAGCTGCATCATTGAGACTCAGTGTTTTCTGCTGTATCATAAAAAAGAGCTTAGCAGACCTTTACTGAAAGGTGCATTTCTCTGTCAGAGACCTCTCCACAAAGTGTATACATTACTTATCCTTGCTGTTAGCGCCAGAAGGGATAACATCATCAGACTGGCACTTGCGTGAACCTATGGTCAACACTGACCTTCCAACTATAGATCTTTATGTTTGTACTTTCTGTTACTTTTTTGATACTCCTGTATCATGACCTATAATGTGCTGCCCTTAAACAGTCCCAACTGTTGCTCACAAGCTGAGGAATTAAGGCCAAAAAGGCTGCAAAGCAGTAAAATAATTACATGATAATATGTTAGATTTACAATATAGCTAGTCCAAATTCTACCATGAAACACCATTCTTTATGGAAAGAAAAAACATTTAATTAGGTCTAAAATACAACAATAATAAACTGTCTAACAAGGTTCCTCCTCTATCCACGGTAACTGTGCTTTCCACTTACCTTGTCACAAAAAACCTTGATCTGGCAGTAAGCTCGGTGGATGGGTTTATTGCTGCGGTTGTTGTAGCTGTACGTATCAATCTGAATCATCAAAGGAAGCCCTTTTACTCCTTTTTGTGAGGAGAAGTCTGTGCTCAAGCAATTCACTGTGATGAAAATCTGTGTGCCAGAGAGATTACTTTTAAAATGTGGTGCAAACAACTATTAAACTTCCAGAAACACATCACAACAAATGGGAAAATAAAAACAGATACCCTCAAAAAAAAAAGTATTTTAATTCAGCTATTGTCCACTCTGGCAATTCACACATTTATTCTCCACTTCTGCACTAAGTCCAGCAAAGATGCTCCCACGCTGGGAAGAAGGACAAACTTTTAAGGTGTGTATCAGTGCTTCAGTTTGCATCAGGAGCTCACATTTGAGGCAAATCATTTGATTGTCGCAACTTATCATGCTTTGGTTCACACCAGAGAACTCAGACTGCATGAGCTGAATTATTTTTGGAAGAGACAGACCAGAAGATGTGTCCTATGAGAACACCTCACGTGCTTCAGCTGCTAATGGTTGCTCAGTCTGTGAGAACTGACTAAAGATAACCTAAGATAAAACCTCCTAAGATGTGCCTCATGTGGATGTCAGGTCTTTAGCCCTGACTTGTTTCACTCTACAAACCTGCTCTGTACGTTTGCACTATTTGTTAATACAGACACAGCAAGATCATCTTGCATCGTCCTTGCCAGCTGTCTTTTGGTCTGGCTTGTTCTTCTGACAGCTCACAATTCAAATTCAGTGTGGTCAAAGATAAGTCCTACCCTTTTTTTATTTTACAAATTGTCTTCACACCCTCATCAGCAGTACCCCTTCCTGTATCTCATCAATAGATACTCCTGATCTTCACTTTAAGGGTCCTTCACTGTCTTCCCTCCATTTCAAAAATGCATCTTGCCCTGTCTTTCTAACTGGGAAGCAGTTTCTCAAACATTTATAAAACTACTCCTTATCTCTTCTCAAAAGTCCCCTTTGCCATGTGGCATCCACGCAACTTGACATTGCCCTCAGTTCCCAGCAAACCCCCTGCCTTCCTCTGGTGCTTTCCTTCTACACCCACTTATGTCTGTTGATAGCCACTAGTCATCTCTTGCCCTCTAATCTTCATCAGTACCATGGGACAAGGTGTGTCTCATCTGCCATGTGTTCGTACAGGACCTGGAAGAAAGGTCTCCCACCTCCACCGGTTCAGAGGACTATTCTGATGCAAAGCAAGCATTTTGAACTGAAATATCACTGAGATCTTTCAGTCAGGATAGTGTGCACGAAACTTGAGAGATGGAACCAGATTAAAAATTCAATTGTTCTTCCCAGTGAGGAATACGTGTGTTACATAGTAACTTGCGCTAATTATGTACTAACCTGACTCTACTTTTCACTTTTGCTCAGTTCAAAAAAACAACAACAAAAAAACCAAACAAATGAAAAAAACCAAAACTGTGAACTAAGGAAAAGGACAGAGAAAGCCACCAGTATGTATTTCCTGAACCAGGAGAATTGTGAAACTTGCTCCAGCAACAAGAACACCCAGGAAAGAAGAGATCTCAAACAGACCCGATGCACACCTTGTAGGGCAGAGGAGAGGCCAACAGGTCCCTGGGGTCTGGGAGGATTCGGAAAGGGAAAACATGAAGGAACCCCTCCCCAATCCAGAAGCAGGGGAAAAAAAACAGTTTGAGTGACCAGAATGCAACATCCCTAGGAGAAAGGCAGCTGAGAATAAAGAAGGGTTCTGGTAGGGCTGGTGGGGGGATACTTTACCCCAATGGCAGAAGTTAACATCATAGTCAGGTTTTTTTACGATGGAGCCAGAGCAGCTTGTTTGCCTGACTGAGTTAATGGCCCCTCCGCATTTCTGCTTCTGATTATATCACAGAGCTGCATTTACAAATGAAATAGTTGAACTTTAACTGCAGGGAGAGGAGGGAGGCAGGGAAGGGCCCTAGGTGAAACTCTGATTTTGAAGCTGATAGTGTTATTTCTGTTTCAAATTACAACTCAGTCTCCTCCAGCTCCAAAGGTAACTGTGGATATGGGTGCATATGCCTCCGAAATATGTCAGTCTGAATTTTCATTTGCCTTCAGACTCCTTTACAGCGTCAGGGCAATGCTTTAAAGCGTGTGTGAATACATAGCAGTGGAATGAGCTCTGGCATAAAACCGAATTTGGTCTTGCTATATTTTAGCCCATACTTCTGCACAGGGGTTTTCCAAACTGTATGTTAAAATGTGAGAGGGGACATGCAGGCTTTGAATCTGCCCAGCAGTTTGTGCATCTACCACCTTTGCTGCACGCTCAGCTAAGAAGTGAAAAAAGATCTTGTCCCACCTCCATCAACTACATACACTGTGTGTCATCTCTTCCACTGCCGCCAGAAGCACAGAGCGGAGTAGGAGCGGCTGGGGAAGACAGCCTTTATCATTTCAAGAGTCCCCATGCAGCAATAACAGATTATTCAGCATGAATAATAGATCGATGCTGTAAGATTCAATATCCTTGTCCTGACACTGTAATACATCAAGATCTGAGGAGCAATGACTGTACGTTCATGCACATGAAGTGTACTATACTTTCTGTCATATCATTTGCACCTCATAGAAAGACACATGGATTCAAATTATCACAGATCATTTATTTTGGGGCAAATGTTCTGTCTCCACACAATCTTCTATTAGCTTTTCTGTAAAGCACAACACTGACTTTGCATTTGGAAAACGTGGGGGGTGTGCACAGGGAAGGGGGAAGAGGGCATAAGTTCTGTTACTTGAGTTGATTTTGGGGGGCGGGGTGGGTGTCTTTACATCACTGAAGATTTGCATCAGTTTTAGCATCGTGGTGCAGCAGGCTGCTGTGGTGAACAGGACCTGGGGAATCATCTGGACAGTCCCCTTCTCTCTGCTGCCACTGCTCTGATCAGAAAGCTCTGCGTCCCAGAAGCAGTGGCCAAGTATTGCCGCCTGCTCTGAGCAGCAATGATTTCATCTGCCTGACCAAGCACAGCCTGCTTTGCCGTTTACAACCCTCATCTTTCCCTCCTTTGCAGCTCCTGTCCGTAATACAGGCACTCCCACTCTCAGTGAGACAAGGAACAAAACAACATCACATCACAGGCAGCCACGACAAGATGAAGTCCTTCTCTACCTCTCTTGGAAGACACCCAGGTTTAAGATCCTCCTTGCTCCGGTCTCTTGCATAGTAGAGTTACATGGTTAGAAAATGTAGAGTTAAGTAGAAATGAGAGTAGCAAGAGTAGAAATCACTGCTTTTTTTTTTTTTCCTCAGGGCCCTGTCTACACTTGACTTAGAACTATTTTAATGAATGTGACTATGGCTGTACCTGAATTCATTTACAAACTTTTTTTTTTCCTGTGCAAACTGGATTTTAGCAATGTTTTGCTATCAGGAACATGTTTTGGTTGTCGTTATAGTGATGTCTTTTTTTTTTTTTTAATGTCAGCATATCTTAGATTAGAGCAATTAATGACAGAGTTCCACCCATCCAGTCTCCAGCTCAGACATGCCATTGGCAACGAAAAACTAATTTGGAGAAACATTTGGTGCCTGAGAAAGTTTCAAAAGTGGCCTAAGATAATGACAACTCTTCTGTTTGTTATAGAACATGTCTAGAAAAAGCACTCTCTCTTTCGGGGAAGGTGCTACTCCACAGTGTACCTGTTATTATGCGAATTACTGACTGTTTGTTAAACACTGCAGCATAATTAGTGATGCAGAAGACACAAACACAGTAACCTGCCTTAAGAGAAAGCAAGGCTCAGAAATGCATTTCCCCTTTTATCACTTAATCCAGCCAACATGACTCCTGCTGCGGTCTCTCAGTTTACACACTTTAAACATCTACAGTTATGAAACTTCTAATATAAGCCTTTTATTACTATTTACATTTCTGGCTCCCATCGTCTCAGAAGGAGCCAAGGGCAGAAGGGAGGGAAGATTGTGTTAAAGAAATTTCTCTACGGAATACTGGCAATACATAGAATCTACGCCTTTACAAAATCCTGTTTTAAAAGGGTTCATCCCTCCAGACTGTAACAACAAAGAGTTAAATGACTTGTCTTTCAAATGACTAACATCAATTCTCATATACACAAAAAGTGTGGTTTTATAGTTTCTCCTGCCAGCCGTTACCTTATAAATCCCATACAAAGGTAAGACCTTTGTTTTATTTCAATACAAATGTCTCCAGCAAATGTTTACACTACTCTTTTGAAGCTTCCTCAACCCACACCACACCCCGGCAACTACATAAAAATGCCATTTGCCTTGAATCCCAGATGAATACTTACCAAGCCATTTGTACACACTGAAATTTCAACATTATTTGCTAACACAGGTTAACTCTTCTTTAATATATACATGTGTGTGTGCATGCCTGGCATAAATATATATATGCACACTTGCACACACAGATACGGTTTGTTAAAGCAGCTGCCAAGTCTAATCCTACATAATTTCTGGTACTAACTCCCCAAAATGAAGTATCTTTTCCTCCAACTTTTAAATTTTGAGAGTAGAGGAAATGTTAATTTCCTCCATAACTAAATGAAATTTGATTTAACTTAGGAAGAAAATTGATAATTAAGAACAAAATACTAGTCAAAACCTGTCCTAAGTATCACTAGCAATGTTAAAGATATATGGATTGTCACAATAAAAATCACTGCTAGAGACTGTGCTGCTCTATAAGCTTGATTTTACCATTGTGCCCACTAGAATCACAGAGCTCACTTTGGCCCACAATATCTAAGAACCTATTCCTGCAAATCACTCACTCATTGAAAACAGCTTATTACTGTATGGGCTATGCCAGAAGTCATTAAATAACTGGAAAGGTTCCCAGAGGCTTCAGCGTGCTTCAGATTAAAGACCTACATTTCAGTTAAATATAGCAGGACAATGATTGCACACAAGTATACACAACAAGTGCACAGCACACAACTACTGTACACACTAAAAAGCATGTGCCAGCACCTGCCTGAATAACATATCCACCAACACGTCTGTCTACTGCATGCCCAAGTTGCAGTGCTTAGCAGAAATCAGTTAATTTTTTATGTTGCTGAAAAGTATTTTTTGTCTGTTTTAAGGTGACATTTTTCTCTAGCAACCATTCACTGAAGTCACACCTTTGAATTTAAGGTTAAAAAGTACTTTCCATAAAAATATACAATTAATGTATTGTTTCAGAAGTAACACCATTCTAACCATTTTAAATTAGCAAAGTATTAATCAGAGAGAAGGCATATCTCAAAGAGTTGGTATGATTTATGACAAAGATGTTCTCCTTCGACCAGGAGAGTTCTGGTTCTTAATTATCTTTCTTGCAAACTAACTTCTGTCAGCAATAAGACTGCAAGCAGGCAGATGTACGTCTATCAAAAATGAAGCTGAGCTCTCTGTTCAAAAGCTTCCGCTAGAACTTTGTCAACCAGCCAGATGCTGCAGCAAAATCTTCTCTAGGGCAACAGCAAGGCAACTAACTACCTACCCTTCTAGCATATCATAAAAAGACTTTTAAAAGATGGTTAAAAAGTCAGCCAGTTCTTGTTAATTGTTGTTTGTTTCCTCACCTTTTTTTACTAAGCTCCTTTAAAAATACCAAACATAGCAGTCAGGTTCAACTAAAGGGAGCCAACAAATCACCCTGCCCATAAATGTTGCGTATTTGTACATAGGAGTAAATACGGGAGTGAAACAACGATGAACTGTACAAAAAGTGTTCTTCACTTCCTTACTCTGCTTCCTTACCCCACAGTATTTTTGTCTCAAGGAAGCACAAGGAATAGTTTGACATGGCTGTAGACCCTTCCCCTCATTTTCCTGTATCCTGCTCTGAACAACAAGCCCCACAGTGACCTCTAGGCAATGGCCCCAGCAGAAAAGGATGTTGCTCTACAAGAAGGTAAGGATGTGCCAGGCCCAACACTCTGCTCTGCCAGAAGGCAAGCAAACTGCTGTTGTTCACCAGATACAGCAGCAGAAACAGTAGCAGAGCAGTGTTTCTGACTTTGGTGCTGTTCTTTAGTCCTTTAGTTGCTTTAGAAAGCAACGGCAAGATTATTCCACAGCTCAACACATGCTGTACAAGATTCCCTCTTCCCCAAACTTGTTCTGCCAAGCAGCAGTCAGAAGACGAGGGATGAAACATGGAGAGCTGGAGCCAACACTCCAGTTCCCTTCACATTACTGAGGCGATAAAGAAAGACCTCTACCCGTACTCTCTGAATGCCTGTTTCTTCCACAGAAGATCAAACTGAGATCCTGCCTTACAAATCCTTAGCAGGATCACTGTTAGCAGGCAGATTCTGGCTGTCACACCCACGCTGTTACACCCTCATCCTTAAGGGCTTCCAAGAGGAGAGTACTGCTCTGCTTGCTCGTGGGAGGAGAAATCTGGCTTTAGATCAGCTGCCCTCCAGGTGGAGTAGGAAAGTGAGAAATCAGATGCTCCAAGTCTTCCTAGATGTGGGATTTAGTCTCTCAGGAGAGACAGGGATATTTGGTCAGGGGATTTTTGGTTAGGTGATTTCTGCTTCTTTGATTTTTCAAAATTGCTCCCTGCGTACTTCCAACGACCAGTCTGTTTTCTTTATTTCTTCCCAGGCCAGTAGAGCACTTCACATCACATCTCAGAGGCCCTGAAAAGAACTGCTCTGTGCCACTTTTGTCTGACTCAGAAAAGAAAGGTCTTGGTGCCTCTGAGGTTAAGTTTTAATCTTGAAATTGTGGTGAAAAGGGAAAACAACACTGAGCAGAAACAATGGAGCCAGTTGAAAGATCGCTGTTAAAAAAGCTTAAGAAAAGAGAGTCTGTAATTAGGCCTTGAAATTCTTCATCTCTCTTGGATGAGGTAATTGCTGGAGAAAAAACAGCTTTCAGTGATGTGCCTAAGAGTCCACAGCTTTCAAGCACTGCAGGGGCATCCTATGGGAATCCCCAAACCCAGTGCAACTGGTTATTGTATTAGACTTTCCAACAGGAGCAAGCATGTGGGTACGTGTACACGTGTGCAGAGAGGGAAACACTTCAGTGCATGGTGATAAGCTTCCAGGTACAACCTAATTTATGACTGATAGCTCAATACCAAAGCATGTTATGAATCCTCTTACTTTTAAGAATACATTTGCAGTTCAAGATCCTAAAAGATCAGGTATTTGATATCTACCCCCCAAAATAAATATGCATAAGCCAATTTGCATTTTTATGACTACTTCCTGCAGAAATACAAGTGGCCTTCTTAAATTTCACTCCTGACACTTTTTTAATCAAGCGACAATAAGACAGTCATTATTTTTAAATCTTACTATGTTATATTTCCAGTCATCATTGCAAGAGTTGTGTTTTTAATGTCCTGGCATCCAAGGCAAGAGCAATGTGAATGGTGTGAGATTAGAACAAAATGACCAAGGATAACACCTGACATTAACGGATGCGACTTTCTTGCTTCTAAATCAACACGGTGTCTTGCTAAGTCTGGCTTGCAGCTGCAAACGCAAGTGTGTTAAAGAACTGCCAGCCTTGGCAATGGGGATGGAAGTTGCCAGTGGGATAAGATGAGACTAGCCCTGGTAGTGCTTCTGTAAAGGTCCTTGGGAAAGTCCGTCATGTTGGAGATCCCAAACCTGTATTTCCTGTATTTGATTGCATAATGATCACACGCACACAACGGTCATCTGTTGTGACTGCAGAGGACAACATACCACTGTATTTTGAAACAGAATCACATAACAGAGGAATATCTGGGGCGGTGAGAATGTAATCCCTACATGAGTAAATAAATATAGCACCATTAGCAACTCGGCCAAGTACAACTCTGTTTACCAAGGCCAGCTTTTGAAAGACTTAGGTGGTTTTCAGAACTATTGTCTTTTCTTTAGCAGTCTATTTTTTTAAAATGTGCATCAGAGATGAAAATCCCTGTTATTACAAACCTCAGCACTTTCAGTCAGCAAGTCAGGACAGCGAGTGTTAATACTACCACTCTGTGCTCAGTGCAATCTCTCATAGGACTCACTTGCTTGATGTAATCTCTCTAATGCTGTCTTAGAAATGCAGTGGGGAACCGTGCATGAAGATGGCCCTGTATTTGAAAGATCCTAAGCATTACTTGCACATCGGGCATTTTGTATTCAACATGAAAACAGTATGAGGAGTTTGCTAAGCTCAACAGTGTTTGCTGTTCATTATTTCTACCTCCCCAACAGTCCCGCATTACCCCCACTCATTTTACGCAGCCTGTTTCCCTTGTTGTTTGCCTTCTGAGGGCCAACTTCTTCTTATAATTACTGGCAGCTTTTCATTTCTCCTACACTAGTCCATGCAGCTGAAACACACTGCCACCCTTTGGATAACCTTATAGATAAGAAACTTGTTATGGTGCTCTGCTGTCCTGGTTTATAGGTCCACTGTAGCAGTCACATCCCCAAATGCAAAACCCCATGTCTGAGGGTACTTGACCACTTATTAAAAAAAAAAAAATGAACGAACGCACTACTCCTCAGAAACAGTCCTCAAAAAGACATCCACTCCCAACTGCAAGGACAGTCTGTAACACTATAAAAAATAATGGCACCAACACAAGGGAAGGCATAGTCTAGCTTACAGAATATTGATTATTGGAAATGCTAATAGTGTAGAAAGGAAGTTGATAATTTGGAGATAGAAAACATTCACCTTGTGTCCTACACAGGCTTTGCAAGCAGGAAAAAAAAAAAAACCAAAACTTTTACTGTTTCTCAGGCTGGGCATATTTTATATGGAAAATCACTGAGAGGCCACAAGTAAGAAACTACACTGTGAGAGCCCTGCAGGCTTTCCTCAGAAGTGCATCTCTACTTGTCAGTGATACAGGTGTGAACACAACATCATACCCACAGCTATTAAATACCATCTTGCCCTTGACACATGGCCATAATCCCTGGGGACAGTGAAACACCACAGTTTGCCTGGCTTTGCAGAGATTGAGCTCACTCACCTCCACCTACCCTTCTTCTTATTTGTTAAAAAGGAGAGAAGTGGAACAGTAACTAAGGATGGATGGTACTTATAAAGGGACAGCATCTGCATGGCTTCTCCTCACCTTTGCTTCCTCATTGACATCCCAAGTAAAGGACACAGCATTGAATGCGATTTCTTCAATATTCCCAATAGTATTAAAACTCTCCTTGTAATCAGCTGTAAGAAATAACAAACAAACAAAAAACATGAAAAAAGGTTTGAACCTTCCCTTTTACACTTCATAGTGCATCTTTGCTTTTTCAGCTAGGTTGTGTAATGCATCAAAACTAGCTCTCTTACTGTTTATGTTGAATTATCAATAACCTTAATTGCAAAGAGATAATATACTGCAGCTTGAGTCTTACGCATAGTACATCACTAGCTAATGTTCTTGCAAAATATTGCTTGCTCTCAAAAAGGAATCAGGGTGACTGTAGTGGGAATGAGTGGGTGCATCCATTAGCTTCGCCAAGGAATGGTCAAAACTGGAAAATTAACTAAAAGCTATTGAAACATTAAAGGGAAAGTTCAAACCTTGACATAAATAAACGACATTATGGTAAATCCTAAAGAAGCTTTCTAAAAAGCTAAGAGCTATCATTGGAGGAAATAATCAGTAGTGTACATTTCTTGCCCAGCCGTTTCAGCTTTCCCAGGAATTACTGCACTGGATGCTGGATCTCTATTTAAAAAAAATAAAAACAAAAAACCCAAAAAAACCCCTACACCAACGCAAAACAAAGAATGAAAACCGCAAAGATCTTTTCTCCAAAGTGTGTATGATACTAAAATAGCAAACAAACAAACATAAAGTATTTTTAAATTGTCTGACTAAAAAATCTGTACCCTCTTCTCACTTCTTTCCAAAGGGTTGTTAATAAATAAGCTAGAATTTTAGAAGGAAAGCAAAACAAGAGGGAAGGAGTCCAAATTTCAGAGATGACCCAGCGCTCCCCAAAAAACAGTAGGGGTAGAAAACCAGATAAAACAGACAGCTTCCAGGTCTTCTTTATAAGCAAAAAGAGGAACAAGCCGCCTTTTTTTTCTCCCTTTGCCAGTCAGTTTAACACACTTTTTTCTTTTTAATGACAGATTAAGAGAAAGACCAGGTTCTTAAGGAGGTAATATCTGCTTGATTAAAGGAACTTCCAGATTGTTCAGGCAAATACATCAGTCCTCTCTGGGACATATACATTTCCTTAGAATCCTTCCAGGGCTGTAACTGGACTCAGTGCCAGAGGGCTGAGATTACGTCATGCAGCAATCTTGATCTAATGTTTGCCCAAATCTGTGCTTCAGAAGCACACTGACTCTTAGCTTTGTAATCCGTTATAGAAAGAGGATGTTTTTGTATTCTATAAATGAGACACTCAAATGGTTTCAATATTCATTTCCTTTGCCCTTCTAAAAATAAACTGTTGATCTCTAGAATTATTTTACATTTGAGACGTGCAATCAGTATACTTTTCTCTCATCTGAAACACTGGGCAAGTGAAACTGTGTGCCTGGGATACTGTTGTGACCATAGGAACAGCACAAGCTATTTGGTGATGCAGCAAGTGAACATGGTATTTGAGAGGGCGGGCAGGCAGGTTTTTCATTCCCATCACGAACTCAGATCTCCTTTCTAACTGAAGTCATTGGCTTCACTATCTAAATTCAGTGTGGGAATGCAAATGAGAGGAATTAGAAGACACATAAGTAGTTTAATATGCATGTGCACACATCCACCCACCCCTTAAATTTATAATTCACCAGAAAGTGCTTCATGCAACTCAGTGCTGCATATGGGCGTGCTGTGTAGGTGCACCTTGGAAAGACATGAACAAGATGTCTTGTAAAGACACATGTTTTCTTCTCCTAAAAGGCTGTCAGAACCTCACATCCCACCAACCCTTCCCTTCCTCCAGCACATATCTCCACTTCCTTAATTGCCATACACAAATCTCATGGAGTGTCTATGTGACACGCTGTTCAAAAGCAGAAATGCATCCTATTCCCCTCAATTTACAGATAATTAAAAAAGGATCCTCAGTTGATTAAGAAAGCATTTACGCCCAAGGATATTTGAAAGTTGTTACTGTGACTACAATTTTTCCTCTTCTGCTGCTGTAAGTTACCAGAAATAGAAAATTGGGGTTCTTCGATATGCAAGAAAACAGCCCTACAGGAATTACTTCCTCTTTTGTTGGCTAAACTGCATATTAAACAATGGCAAATTTCAACATCAAACTCTAATCCTTTGCATGCGTTATATACCATTGTATTAGGTTTTGTATTTTGCACATAAATAATGCAAGCTATCCTGCAAAAAAATACGAGCAAGACTCTGGAGCACAAATAACCCCAATCTAAAGCTTACACACACACTCTCTATGTCCATGTTTGAACCTGTTCCAGTATTTGTCAAATTACGGTACTGATTCTATATAATCAATATTTGCCACAACCCAGTATTGTAGTCTTTATTTGAGATTATTTTAAAAGAAAAAGCTAGTGATCCAATGTCACAGCACAGCACTGTGGAAAAGTCAGCTTTTTTTTTTTCTCCCCTCATTACCGCTAAAAACAATGAAAGTGCCTCCCTCCTCCTTCAGAAAAATCCATAACAGCACACAGCCTAAATTCTGGAAAATATCTTTCCTTCTTGCTTAATAAGTGTCAAGTCCTCGGGTTTATTCCTCAAGCACTAAAGACTTGCTTACATGTAAGTACATGCTTATTCTATTAGTATCAATACATCTTCAGACCCAGTACTGCATCTAATCCATTCAACCATCCTTCCTCCCGAGAGGTGCACCAGTCAGTACACAAAACAAATCAAAGCAGTGACCCCTGCATGTCTGGAGTGAGGGAACAAGTAATCTATTTCCTCTGATCTCCAGAATATAACTGCAGGCCAGAAGGCAGTCAGACAAACCTGTGTCACCAGGGAAAGCAGCACAAGCAGAGTCGTCACCTCTATCTGAGGGCTGAATAGCTGGACCCTCGAACTAGAACATCTCAAATTCATTTGATTCTCTGCCTGCTAAGGACCAAGTCATGCTCTAGATACAAAGTGCATTCATAAACAATTAAAAAGGATTCAGAGATGTTAAACATATGCTACAAACATTAAGTTAACGTAATATTAATGATTATAAACATCTATGGAACAGGTTACACATTTATGGCTATTCACAGATAGTTTTAAAGGAGCCTAATACATGATTAACCCTTTAAATACTGTTGACAGTTGGGAGTGAAATCCAAAATAACAGAAAAGTGGGGCTACCAGCAGATTGCCAGACCATGCCTTGAAGATGAGACAAATCTAATACACACTCCTATCCTTAGCAAGCTTCTCTCACTGCCTGTTTAAGTGGTTCTCCATGGCATATCCTGGCATTTACTAATCTCCCTCATAGATACCTAATTCTCTTTGTTAGCTGCACAGCGCCCAGACATTAACTATATACCTTTACAGGACCCTTCAAAGATCTGAATTTTTAAGGTAAAGGGAAATTGTCATAGAGTCACACAATAATTTAGCTTGGAAGAGACTTCTGGAGGTTATCTGGTTCAACCCCTACGCTACTCCCTGCTCAAAGCAGGGCCAACTTCAAATTTGGATGAAGTTGCTCAGTTCGATCATCTGATGATAAAACTGGGAGAGTTTGCTAAATGCAGCTCGATGTTTGTATGGGAAATGTAGTTGGGAGCCATTCTGCCCTAATAAGCCAAATATCCACAATGTAAGTCCCAAAGAAAATGAAATGTACTTCAGAAACACCATACTTGCTAAGAGCTAAGGCCGTATTTCAGTTGTTCTGAAGAAAACACTACCGAGCAACATCAAGGTCTTTCTTCTGAAATCACTGAGGTGAACTGTGTTCTTACAGTTCTTACATCTGACAGGGAGTGCTGTATCAGTAAGTCTTACTACACTAGGCTTTGCTCATGTTTGCAGTCCAAATAAATAATATGTGCCAGAGCACCTCAAACATCAGCACAGACCTATTTCATCTCAAACTAACAGAAACATAAAAGGCATTCACTTTAACACAGATAAACACACAACTCATGCACAGTACTTGTTTTGCAGAGCACTGTTTTACAGAACATGCATCACAAGCTGACTCGTTCGGGTAAGGGGACTGAAATGTCCCAGTACACTACAAGTGCGGTGGAGTCAGAGGGTGTTGGCACCGCAGTGGAACGAGCTCCTCAGCACATACCTTCAAAAGTATGAGTGTTACCACTGCAAGCTTGTAGGGACTAGCACAAAAAAACAAAACACGCAGCCTTCAGAAATAGCTGTGACGTGGCATACTTGCTTTTTTAACATGTCATGATAGGAGTCACTTGGTCTGGGGTAGAGGTTTCACTGCTTTAACTACCCCAAAGGACAAAAATAAAAGAAAAAAAAAAAAAGAATAAACAGTTCAGTCAGAACTATGATGATAAGACAAAAGGCAGAGAGGAGATTCAGGAAGAGCTGCTTTGACCAAATGCACTTGCCTTTAAATAATGCCAGCCTCAGCGGAGGTTGCAGCATTTGAAAGTCAAAAGGCACTGCATGAGCAGGACCACTTAGGGACCATGTTCAATCACCCCTGAAGTCTTGCAGTGCTCTCTCCAAGTGCTTTTTTTTTCTCCCCCTCCTCTCTGCCCCCTCTCATTCCTGCCATTCAATGGTTTGGTTCCCTCAGGCGGTCAAAACAAGATAGACTTTGTCTGCTTTGGTCTCGCCCGACTCCTTTGACTGGAATCCGCTGCAGATGGCTGCGTGTGTAAACTGCAGGTGGGAGGGGAGAAGCGCTTGATGTCTAGACACTCCCACAGATTTCAACTTCAGGCTCCTTGGCAGCAGGTACGTGTCCTTCCTCTGCTAAAATCTCCCAAGCATGCGGACAGGGCAGTTGTGGCTGAAATGGTCTTGTAAATACCTTAGATGGGATGAACAGTAAACAGGTCCCTCAGGATCACACAGCAGAACATGCTTCTCCCTCACTTCTCTGCATCACCGACAAGACTCAAAAACCGGCGCTGTAGGAGTCCTGTGCGCTCCTTTGTGCTCACCATAACGATGGCATCTTCGCTCTCAGGCTGTGCTTACACATCAGGTTAGCTAACAGAACTGTCATGTGGGCTGCTACTGTTACTGGATCAAAGAGTTGATCGGCCTTTGAAAAACTAAAGGAAACAAACACTCCGCCACTCCTGAGGAGGTGCAGACCTCGACTTCTCGGCAGCAGAAGGTGGAACACCACTAAATACACATGCAAGGGGCAGCTCTTCTTTGTGACTACTGAGGACCATTCCTTCTGCATGGTCTCTATCCTGCTTCATAGACCCCACAGCCCAGTCCTAGCAGGGATGAGGCATTGCTAAAAACTGTGGTAGAAGCCTTGCAGCTCTTGCAAATACATCCCACTACATCCCTGTGCAAGGTACCAGAGCTTTCCACATTCCACAATCTTCCCTGAAACATCTGGAGATCCTCTTACACTCACCAATGTCGAGGACCCTCTGTTTAGCTGTGTGCTGCCGAGAATGCCAGTATTTCCAGTATTTCAGCTGTTCGTCTCTGTTTTTATCTTCACTGAAAACAACCATGACCACGCTCTATAAAAATCAACACCACAAAAGTTGCATTAATTAATATCATTAATAGACAGAAACACAAAAATTAAAATCTCCCATATGCCTCTAATGTTGATACAGTCACCACCCTCCCCCAGTACTTTGACTGTAGAAGATTGCTGGTTTTTATTCCAGTCCAATATTGCAATGCACTTAAAGACTCAGAGCAGAGGAAATGTAGTTTTAAAATAATGCAGGGCCTAGGATTATATTCCTGGTAGTACAAATAAAATTTAATTGTATTCTTAGATTTAAGAAGCCTAAGTTCCCTCAAGTAAAAAGCGGTCATTTCAAAGTCAGAGGATCCCCAACTCCAATTCTGAACCCAGTCCAGTCCAAGTGTTGCAGTTCAGATTGCATGTCGCTCTGGAAGATGACATTACACTGTAAAGGGATGTGTTGTTATGGAGCTTAGGGTCACTGGCTAATGGCAGTACATTTTCAGTTTTAACACACACAGTCCAAATACCCTTTTGAGGAGCAGGACTCTTGCATACATATATTTAATGACAAACTCAGTGTGACTACTGAGTTTTGCTGAGGTTTTCAGTTCAAGTTTTGAATTCCCTTTGTTAAACTCTGTGATTCAAAGGAAACAGATTGAAACTTTATGCAAAACTTTACATGAATAATAAAGGCTTTTTTAAAAAAGCCCTGCTGTAGGCAAGCAAAACAAAACCCACGAAACAGAAGAATGCTTATACTAGGTAAACTGAAGTGAAAAGAAACCACAGAGAGCAAAAACTTCACTTTTAAATATCCTCTTTTATTCCCATTCTTGCTTTAACCCTGAGTCACTAAGCTTATAAAAAATACCATCAAGCTGTTTCATAAGCTGAGGAGCTGGATCACAATTGATTCATGATCTGAGTCCCTTCACACAGTCACCACTGTAACCCTTCACGTGCTCTGTAACCTTCTCCGTTCCACCTATAAAAGCCGAACATCATCACTGCATCTTCCATGTCTAGCTACTGCGTGGGCACAAGGCAGTATATGCTGTGGGCGCGTCCTGAGTTATGCATATGCCTACTGGCTGGCCATCAGGTATGTGCTGGCTGGGCAGCTGATGCACTGACCAGAACTGACACTGCAGACTGTAGCTTTTCCACCGAGGACAGCATTAATTTTTTTCCTCCATGAACCACTTACATGGAACTTGTAGAGTTTTAATACCTTCAAAACCTCTTGCCCCAATGTCAGGTTTGGATGGAATTGACAATAAATTCAATAGTTGCTTGGCTGGGGGTCTGGCATACAGGATATGATCGTGAAAGTTGCATGTGGTTTCACAATCTTCTGTAAACTGTACATCCTCCAAAAGAAATGGTCTCATCTCTCCTTTACAGTTTCCACCCTTCTGCTGTCACAGCTTCAAAACTCACGTGGCTGTGCAGTGAACAAGACTTATGAGGACTGGTTTGCAGACAAACCAGTGAGCTCCTGACTCCTGTTTTAGCTGTACAAGTGCTAGAACTGGCGCCACAAAGGGGCAAGGAATGGGTGGCTGGCACGGAGAGAGACTTTTCAGCAGCAGAGGAGTCTTACATCATCTTCAGCCAACAACGAAACACCATCATCAGCCTCATGTCCTTAGGAAACCTGGCTAAAAATTAACTGCTATTCAAGTTTACAAATCATTGCCTCTCTTTAGGAAGAGTCTCTCTAAACCTCCTGTATGATAGAAACATATAGGTGGTTGTCTGCTTCACTGCTCATGTTCACTTTCATTGGTTCCTTTGACTAAAGTCACAACATTTTTATGGTACTTCATTTATTTGGATGGAAACACTTCTGCAGCCTCATACATATGCAGCCCTTTCAGCTTCAGGGTGAAATTTGCAGGGCAGCAACTCTGAGGCTCATTGTTCATTCCAAGGTTACTGTGTTAGGATTTGCTTACTCAAAAACATTACCAGGGAAATCAGGAGGCCTGTTCACCAGGCCGACATTGCTGAATACCCAAGCTCCAATTCTACCATGGAATCCAAGATGCAAATCATCCATTTTGTCATACTTTCGGGTGAATATCAAGTAAAAACTCACACTTACACAATGTAAATTATTTAAAATTTATGTCACAAGGGATGGCTTCAACTCTTCACATTTTATCTGCACCACACTGGAAAGCAGCTGCTGAAGTGCATGAGTGAGTGAAGATGGACTTACAAAGTAGATGTAGCAGTTCTCTGATTTTTTTCTTTAATCATGGCAATGATAAGTTCACCAATCTCAAGTGCAATATCTGTGCAATCACCATTCTGCCAAACCATAAACTGAGGCAGATATGTATATAATTAACTCATAAGATCACACTTTGAAAAAACTGGACCCCAAAATATTTGAGACCACCATCAGTATTACTCTCCCACCTTTACACTGGACATAAGAGTAAGCTTGCTCTGTCCTCTCCAACAAGAAAAAAAAATAATTAAAACCCGACCAACCACAACTATGTTGATCTGCAGAGCACCATTCCCCCATAGGAAAGAAATTGGACTATACCCTGACTTTGCTGATGGGATGCCGGAAACATTTGTTGTCACCCGTCTCACTCAGGGTGATGGCGTAGAATTGTCCTTTGTTCAAGTAGGTCATGGGCCCCTCCCCCTGCTTTTGACGCAGAGATTTGGTAGCTTCTAGTGTATACTGAAAAGTGCTGCTGAAAAGACAGGGAGAGAAACACCAACAAAATCCATATCACTTTCTCCTTTTCTCTTTGTCCCCATTTATTATGTATTTCATGCATTGTATAAGCAAGGCATAAGAAGCTAATAATAAAATTCCAGCAAAAGGTCACACAGGTATTTAAAAATGCAATTTTCTTTTTTCAAGTTCATCAGATCTGGCAATCAAGTGTAAAACTATCTGGACTGTAAGTCTCTTGGATCAAAGACTATATCTTCTACTTTCTCTTTAAAGAATCATCATGAAGTACAAGACTATGTACCCCACAGTGAGAGTGTCAAATACCAGGAGGGAATTCAGTATAATTTGCAGGAAAACAGCTACCTCCACAGTCACTTAAACTTAGAAGTGTCACAGAAAGAGAAATTTAAACAAAACCAAACCCAAACCCAACAAAAAGCCAAACAAACAAAAAAAACCCGACCTGAATAAAACTTGTTGCAAAAGATAGGCACAGAGAATAGGAAGTCCAGCTGCTACTTTCAGCACAGTGCAGAAAAGGAATACAACCAGAAGGGACACTAAGTTCATTTCTTTAAAGACAACATGCAATCAAGGTTTTTACAAGCTTTCTTTTCTAAATTAATCAAACAGAACAAAGTACCTACATTTAGTTGTATCTGCAATCAAATAACCTCCCTTGAGAAAAAGACAAAAATTAGAGGAAAACAGAGTTTGCTCTTGTGTTGTCAGATTTTAGAAAAGACCCTCCTTCACAGAACTTTCCACCGTTAAGGCAGTTCTCAAACTATGAAAATTTAAAGCTCCATTAACTAGTGAACTGTTAGCTGAACACATTTCTCACAGAGCCTCTTCCAGTCTCCTCCTCCAATAACAGGCTTGAACAATAATCCAATAAAAATGATACCTGCAGCTCCTCACATCCTTTTATATGAAAAATCATGTTAACCTTGCAGAATAAATCTTCTCTTCAAACTGCATTTGGTCACCACAGGAAGCTTAATGCAAGGAGTCATTTGCAAGATGTCCTCACAAATTGGAGATACGGGGGAAGCATTTTAAAAGGTCCTAATTCAGCAAAATATTTAAGCAGTGCTGGAGTAGAACCAAAAGGACCAATATGCTGATCCAAAACAACAGTGTACCCTTAACTTTCTAGTTCAAGCAAATACTCTGAATTATCATAACATTGCCATAACAATATGGAAATAAGGGGAAGACAAAAACATTTCTAACTATCG